TGGGATGAAAGGGAGAAGCTGGAGCCATGCCCTTCTGAGGCCAACCCCACGAAGATCACACTCCTCTTAGGAAAGCCTCCAGCAGGTATACTCAGCCAGGGAACTGAGCTGTATCTACCCCCATTCTGCTTTTAGTTCCTGTCACACCCTATACTATAGATTGAAAGGGATAAGGCCTAACTAAAAAGATCACAACCTGTGATATTAGGTAAATTTTGTTCGTTCATCTTCTGCACTGAAAAAGTTAGCTTTTAAAAATGAACAATTAGTATGAAGATGTGAAAAAAAAGAACTATTAAACCCAGATCAATATATTAAAAGACAAGTGAAACTATTAATAGCAACATTCACTGATTTAATCAGTGAATGTTTGTCAAATATTCCTATAGAATAGAACTGACCCAAAATGGGGTCATCTTAGACTTGGGCTTGTGAACATTCGCACCTCTCCTCCTTAAAACAACTGAGACCATAGCCATTTCAGGCTGCTGTCCCCAGGGCTAACTGAGTCTTGACTCACTGACATGGCCAGAGCAGCCAGTGGAGAAGGAAACATGGCTATGTATACCACCCAGCAGGGGCACCAAGTAAATGGTGGTAATAATGATTTAGATTTATGTGAGGATTTCTTTTTTTTTTTTTTTTTTGCTACCAGGGATTGAACCCCAGGGGTGTGAGCCACATTCCAAGCCCTTTTAATGGTGTTTTTTTGAGACAGGGTCTCACTGAGTTGCTTGCAATCCTCTTGCCTTAGCCTCCCGGCCACCACACCCAGCTTATCAGGATTTCTTGAGGGCTTTAAAATGTTTTGTGTACAAATGACTTTACTGCCTTATGCATACCACAGTTACACAGAATTTCATATTTCACCCACTCATATTTAGTATGAGTAGGAAAACTGAACCCAAGGACACTAGTTTGAATCAGATGCTCAGTCAATGCACATAACAGAAACTAGGTGGGATCCACTCACTGCAGAGTATTCTAGATTGGCATTGTGATTGGCTAAGTGGTTTAGTATGTCTGCAGCAGGCACCATCAAAGGGGAATTCGGCTCCTTTTCATCTTCCTCTTCCTCCAGTGGTTCTTGAAAGCTGCCACAGAGAGAACTTGGCTAAGGCCCAGGTTTGGGTGGGGGACTATGAATGGAGCTCACTGTCTTCTTCCTCCACCACCCTTATCCCTCAATGATGTTCTAAAGAGTTGGGTCCTCCAAGATTTTACTCGCTGACCTGTAGGCCATCACAAGGGCCACTAGCTGGTGGTAGAGTTCCAGGGAGCGAACACTGGGGCCAAAGAGATCCGGATGGGCTTCCATGAAGGGAAGCACGATGGAATAGAATTCGCTGCGAATGTTGGCCAAATCCTTCTCCACTGCCTCCGGGACACCTGTGCCTTGTAGCAGGCGCTGGCGCTCCTCTTCTGGCCTGCAGATACAGCCCAGAGCAGCTCCCTTCACACCCTATTATGACCAGTGCTTGGGGGCCTGGTCCCCATCCAGGGCAGGGTGGCTGGAGCTCCACAACCCCTCCCACTGCGCTCACCAAAACATGGGATGCTCCAAGCGGTCCAGCTCGGGCCACAGCGCAAAGTAGGGGCTCCACAGCGAGGCTGGGGCCTGCAGCTCATGGAGCAGCGCCAGCAGCAGCGGCACCCAGCCCGACTGGCTCTGCAACGCGTCTCGCTCTAGGGAAAGCACAGGAGTGAGCGCCCCGGCACGGCTCCAGGGCCTGCCTCGATGACTCCGTCCGCCAGCGTGCCCACCTCGTTCCAGCAAGTCCCGGATCGAGCAGGTGTGTGGCGACAAGAGCGCTGCCCGCGGCACCGCGAATAGCAGCTCCCCGGGCAGCACGCTTTCACGAGCCACCATGCCGTAACCGGCCACAGTGCCCTGCCGGCTCACCGCCACCTGCGAGGGGAGGAGAAACGCCAGTCAGAGCAGTCGGGGACGCGCGCCCCTCCACCCCGCCGCACTTCCACTCACCTTGGGGCTCAGCTCCAGCCCTACCCGCCCGCACCAGCTCAGGAAGCCAGCCACAGGGTCGGAGTCCGGCTCGCCACCGCCCCCCGGTTGCGCCACCTGAGATAACTGAGCCGAGTGACGAGGCCCCGCCCCGGGGAGCCCGCGGGGATGGCGGCGCGCGCGCGCGGGAGACGCGCTTTGCTTGGGGGAGGGAACGCGGAAGAGGGGAACCGGACCTGCGGCTGGGGGCGCAGTGGCGCGCGCCGGATGCCTCAGGGCGGGGCAGAGCGATGGGCCGGGTGCCGGCCACCCGCCACTCACCCGCGGGCGCTTGGTCCGGGTCGCCATGGTCCGACTCGTGGCCCGCGCTACCGCTCCGCGTGCCCGCGCCGGCGCTTCCGGCGCTGCWGGCCCCGCCCCAACAGGACGCCGGGGGGCGGGACGTGCCGGAACCATGGGGGCCGGGTTTAGGCGTCCGAGCCGAAGAGGAGTGAGGGTTTCCGTTTCTCCGATTTCCAATTGGATTTAGAAGACGCGCAACCCGAGTGCAGGCCTGTCCCCAGCCGTCTGGAGCCTGGACCCTCCGCTGCTTGCTTTCGGTCTGACCCCGAGAGCCGAGGCTTCCTGCGGTAGAAGTCTGCGTTTTCGAGGGCGTGGCGGCTGTCGGTTGGCGGGCTCCCCTCAAGGGTGTCCCGGATCTCGGCCCCCGTTACCGAGGGCCATGCGACCGTGATTTGTCCGGTTGGGAGAGTTTGCGCGTTTGTTGGAGAGTGGCGAGCCCCAGCTGGCTCTGGAGCCCGCAGAACACCCCCTCTGCCCGATTTCCGCCTGCCTCCCGCTTGGCGGGTTTATTTACTTTCTTTTTATTAGCTGACGTGTAGGAGGTATGTGTAAATGAGTAGTGAATGCAGCCAATTGGGATTAAACATGGAGAAGTAAATTGCTGTTAATTTTGGGAAAACGAGGCCCTGAATGGGTTACAGGTTACAGTTTTGAAGCCAAACAAGGCCAAGTTAATTCGAGCGTGGCCTCACAAGGGGCAGATCCTGTATCCTAATACTGCGACACCCATTCTGTAGAATTGATGTTAAGATAGGTAAGGTGATAAGTGGAAATGTAGAGATGAGTGGAAACAGCCCCTGCCCTCAACCGGCACCCTCCACCCCACCCAAGCCCAAGCCACCCCACCCAAGCCCAAGAAGCACTGGCCCCTGCAGGATGAAACATTCTGTCTCTTGGAAAGCTTCCACACAGCATGGCCACACTTAGGTTCTTCTTAGTTTATTAGTTTTTCAGTACAGGTAACTCTTTCTACATTGACAAGGGTTTTATTTGTTTTACATTTTGTCATCTCAAAAGTCTTAGGACATCAGCCACCAGAATACACAAAATTAGGCTCTTCACTTTGTACAGAGAGGAAAATAATAAACTCCCCATTAAAAGTTCACCTTGATCAAAGAAGAGACAACCTCCAATGAAAAACCACACCCAGGAGGACCCAATATACATATATATATATATAATGTATAGATATTTATAGATATCAGAAAGAACAGCAAAAAAACAAAAATACTTGCAGTTCTATCTACAGTAAGAGGGTTAATTCTACCAGCTTTAAACAGTCACATTCAATATTCAAAGGAAGCACGTGAGTCAACAGAACTGAGGACAGACTACACTCCACCAGGCCCTAGAGCAATCTAGTAATGGCTTAAGATTATAGAAAGGAGGCTATGTGTGTGAGGAAATGCAGATGTTGGAGTCCTCAGCCTCAGAACACCCACACACTACCTTACCCCTTGGCAGCCCTTCATTTTTCCAGTGCTTTCCTTTCTGGGGGGAGTGGGGGTCGTGACAATTTAGTTAGGCTGAGACAAATGGCTCTGTTTTCTGGGCTGGGAGATTATACCTGGTAAGGTGGGTGGGTGGGAAATAAATGGCAACAGTCCTGGGCATCAGGTGGCAGGAGGGGAGTTTTTCTGTGTATATAGGGAGCTTTTCTCTGCCTGGCCCCTTGTTTACTTCAAGAACCTTCATCTGCCACCCCAGGACCCAGCAAGCCCAGCCCGTGCCCACTCCAGCAGGTAGAGTTGGTGACATGGGGCTTTGGAGTCTGGCTGCCCTGGACCAGCCTCTCCAGATAAACTTGCCTCCTCAGTGATGCCTGCTGGAGATGCTGCCACTGCACAGGAGCTCTGCTGGACAGCACGCTGCTACTGAGTGGGTTCCCCTCTGGGACTAAGGCAAACAGGGGTCTAAGGAACTCTAAGCTACACAGCCTCTGGCCACCTGCTGGCTCCCACAGGTGGTAACCTTGAAGTTCTTGGGTATACAAAACATACAAGAGCAATCCCAGTCCTTTCCCTCTGTCCTCAGGTCACTAGAGAGGGATAGGTAACATCTGCCTCAGGGAGGCCTTGGCTCAGAATGGGACAGGGCCAGAAAGTGGCAGAGTATAGCCTAGAAATGGACTGTGTTGGGGTTCCTGCCCTCAGGATTCTCCAAGTCCCTAGGCCAAGAAACTCCCTTCAGCCCCTGTTTGGCCCTACAGCACTAGCCTGGGCGCTGCAGCAAAGCCACTGCTTGGTCAGAGCGCCCCCTTGTGGTCACTGTCCAGATGCCTAGCACCTGTACTACAAACCAGAAACGGATGTGCTTGGTGGAGTGCAAGAGGCCTTCAGAGCTCCAGGGTCCCTGGCTGCTCTTTCCTGGCCCCCACATCAGGGTCTGAACCCAACACTGACCATCTCAAAACCCCATCCCTTCTCCAAACCTGCCTGTCCAAGGGTGGAGCCATATTCTTCCTTTAATCCAGGAATGATCCTGGATCCTGGCCCAAGAACTCCAACTCTTTCTTCATCTAACCCCATCCTCCCTGAGGCCCAGCCCTGACTGTGTCCAGGCTGTTTGTTGGATGTGAGGGCCTGATAAGCCAAGTTCACATGGGGAGTGAGATGAGGGTGGGGGATGGGGACCCCTCAATCTGCAGACTTATGCTGCAGCATCTAAGGTGGATCCCCTCATTTTTTAAAAGAAGTAGCCCCATTTCCCCCCTTTGCCCTCACAAAAATAAACTAAAGGGAAAATGAGCCGGTGCAGGGATGGCAGTGGGACCTCGATGCAGGTGGGTAGGTGTCTTGAGTAGAGCCYAGGGATTCAGCAGGATACCTCCATGGTGTGGTTGACCTGGCCCAGCCCCTCACTGCTCTCTGAGTGGGTGCAGGCCTGTGGGCGGCTGCCATCCACTGAGCTGGCACTGGTGAGAGATGCGGTGCGAGAGCGTGCGAGACGGGTCATGCTGGCCGAGGGCACTGTGGACAGAAATGGAACAGGTGTGAGGACCACCGGGTAGGGTGAGGCAGCAGCGGCTGGGAAAAGGATAACACAAGCAAAGCRGCCAGCGAGACCCAGTCTTCCGTTGACACAGGTCCATCCCAAGCCAGGGAACTGGCACCATCAGGCCTGAGGCATGCARGGCTGGCAACGGTGAATGGGCCAAATGGGCTGTGGCCAGTGGGGCCTTGTGCCAGAGCTATGGCCAGGACAGGGAAGGTGCTGACCAGGTGCCCCTCTTTTCAACCAGGCCTCCCCCAAGAGGATGACGGGAGCCAGATACAGTGACACCCGTAATCCCAGCTGCTGAGAAGGCTGAGATAGGAGGATTGCAAGCTAGAGGCCAGCCTGGGCAACTCAAAAAGGGCTGGGGATGTAGCTACAAACCCCAGTACTAGAATTAAAAAAGGATGATGGGATGGGGAAGCAGGATTGCTTTTGTAAAGGAGGACATATGTCATGGTTGCAAGCTGCCCATTTTTGCTCTCATTCTCACAGTTGAGACTTGCAGGCAGCAAACTTCACCCGCCTGAAATCACCTGCCCACCCACCCGCCTGCCAGCCTGTTTGGCTTGGCCAGGGCCAGCATGGCTGCCCACAAGGCCAGACCTGGGCTCTACTTCTGAGGAGGTTCTGTTTCTAACTCCCAGAGCTCTGGAAGCCCCGCAGCCCATGGCATTCTAGAAGCAAGACTGCTCTGAGACCCAGCCCTGAACAGGATAGAGCCCACAGTGGACCAGGATCTGCAGAAGAACAGGAATCTTCTGAGTTTTTGAGTGCAGCAGGACACAAGAGGTCTCCAAATCACAGCAAGATGCAACCTGGCTGCAGCACTGCACAGAGGAAGGAGCAGGGGAGAGGCTGGAAGGGGTGTCCATGCATCAGGAGAGGGGCCACAGGGCTACCTGCTCCTCCACTCAGCCTTCGGTCCTTCAAGTATGCAACTAAGAGAGAAGAGCCAGAGAGGGGGTGGGGACAGGGAGACACAACACTGTGAAGATCATGGCTGGGCTGAGGCCAGGGCATCGAGATGGACCAAAGAGATCAGACAAACACACAGGGCCAAGCCACAGGAGCCCAGTCCTGCAAGCCCACCCAAGAGCAGCCCCTGGAAAGACCTACAGCAGGGACTAACCTCAGTCTGGCCCAAGAGAGCCCTTGGATGGGGGTTCTCATCTACCCCCCTCCCACCCTGGCCAGGGACAATGAGAGGCTCATGTGGACAAGACTTTCTGGGCCCATACTCTAGGCCTAGTGCCTTCACTATTCTGTGGGTGAAGTCTCCCCACTTACAGAAGGCAGAGGCCTGCACAATCTCCCAAATCCCTCCCAGCTCCAGCTGTCTGGTGGATTTCTTTAGGGCCCCCGAGGTCACTGGGGCAGGTGCTCATTCATCACCTCCATAATGTTCTCAGAGCTTCCTGCATGCACAGGGCCCAGCCTCAGACCCTGGAGGTGCCTTCCTGTTGGCCCTGGCCTCTCTGCTCTACTTCTCAGAGAGGCTGGCAGGCCCTGGGGCCAAGGGCTTTTATTCCTGGCCATGTCCCCACTATCCCCCAGATTCCCCCAGGTCGACCCCATCAGTTCTTCCAAAGTGATACACGCTCCAGAGACAGGTGAGGTCTGAGGAAAAAACAAGCGAGTTGGGGACAGAAAGTTTGCTTYCTCCCAGTGGGTGTGCTGGGGATGGAGATGAGAGGCGAGGAAGGGTCCCCAGAGCCACTCAAGAGAGTGTGCATGTCTGCATGTACCGGAGTCTCACCATCCCTGCCCTGAATTTTCAGAAAGGTTAGGGAACAGGAGCTGGTCCTTCATGTCCTGTTTCCTCAGGGTCTTCAAGTGTTCCTCCCCCAGGTTTGGCTGTCTTCAGGTCTCCTAACACCCAGATGGGCCCACTTGACTTCCCTGGTCCCCAGACCCCAAGCCCACTCCCATAATGCCACTAGGTACCACCCTCCACCTGTGACAAAGGGCCTTCTCCGGTGCCCTAAGAGTCCTTATGTCTCCCGGCCCAGCAGCGGGTGAGTGACTCACCTCAAACAGGCTTCTTGGCAGGACCAAGCTTTAGGCCCTGGACTGGGAAAAGAGGCCTCTTTTTCCCAAACAGGCCTGGTACTGCCCTCAGAAGCGTGCCCGAGGCTGTCTCCAAGGCACAGGGGCCTCGGCTTGGCCTGGGACATGCAACTTAGAACACAAGTATAGTCCAGAGAGCATGGCCCAAGTGCCCACAGGCTCCCCAGCACCCGGGTCCACACTGCCAGCATGCCCCCAGCCCACCAGCCTTAGGTCGGGGTTGGGTGGAGGGATACTTACTGTAGCCCATGCCTTGCAGGAAGTATTTGAAGGCCTCAGTCAGCTTCCCTGGCTGCAGGAGAGTGGGAAAGCGTAAGCTTTGATAGGCTGCCTGGGGTGCCGGGGGAGGCCTCCCTCGCYCTCCCACAACTGCCCAAGTGGGCCGAGCAGGTGGTGTAAAGGCAGGAGGGCAAGAGTCTCACCTGTGTGACTTGTGGGAGCCCTCCAGAATCTGCCATCTGCAAGGGAGAGAGTGGGGAGAGCTGAGCAGCTCTCACTGAGACAGGCTCTGCTGACTAGACACACTGTCCTGCTTCAGCCCTGGGTGGGACCCCAACAGGCCCCTCCCTGAGGCCATGACCACCTTGGGGGCTGGGAGGCAGGGCTCACCTTCAGGAAGGTGGTGGTGGTTGGGTCCAGTTTGGAGTTGCACTCCACCTGGGGACAAGGAGCCAGCTTCAGCAAGACCCCACCCCACCCCTGCTAAGGTGGGTTGTGTGCCCACAGCAGAGGAGGGAGGTACAGGTAGGCAGGGGCAGCCCTTCCCAGGTGCTCTCCTTTCAGGCTCCCCAGCCCTGGAGATCAGTTGGCATTCCCCCACCGCACCAGGAGGGGCCCGACATCATCAGGTCCTATTCACAACTGCTGGTGGGACAGGGAGAGCCAGGGCCACTCAGGTGGATGGGTCTAGGGAAGCCCCAGGACCAGGGCAATAAGGCAAGAGGTGCTAGGGATCACCAGGAGACTGAGGCCCTGCCTGGGTCAAGATGGCAAGCGCAGCCTCATATACCCTGGTTTGCTATTTCCCAGGCACATGGGGGCTACTCTGGCCACTTCTGTGCTGAAGGGCACCCACCCCCAGGCAGCCTGCTGCCAGAGTTCCAACCGGAGAGATGACACATGGCTCCCAACACTGTGGGTGCCTGTGGTGGTCAAGGGGAACAGTGGGGTTGTGCTAGTGAATCTATTTCATAATGGGTCAAATTTTAGAAGAGATCTTAGGCTCTGGGCCTTAAGTGCATGGAGTCAGGCAGGACTGCGCTGCTGGAGGAACAGGCTGCCAGCCAGCTCAGCCCTGCACCAGCTCCTTCCTCTCCCCAGCTCCCTCCACCTGCAGGGCGAGTGTGGCAAGATGGCTGGGAGGTAGATGGGAAGCCACCATCCACTGCATGTCCCTGAGGCTACCCTGGGCTGTATCAAAACATCGGCCCTGCTGGCCGGAGCCCAATGAGCATCCAACTCTGAATCCCACCTGAGTCAGGACATAATCCCACACTCACCACCCCATCCTCAGCAGGTGCGTTATCCCCGACTACCAGCATCACGGGGCAGCTGCGGACACAGAGGAAAAGGCTGTCTGGGCTGGGCACAGGGGACAAAGTCCAGAGCAGGCTGGAGGGCCAGCGTTCACTCACCGGAGCGTCTTGGCATTGGGCACCGTCCCAGGCCGGTTAATGTCTAGGTCTCTGCGGCTGCAGGGGAGGGGCAGAGGCAAAGGTGGGCATCCCAGGGCTGGAGGGAGAGTGCCAAAACCCAACACTGCCAACTGGTAAAACAGGGGGCCGTGAACCTGAGCTGCAGAACCAGGACYCTTGGGTTTCCCTCGCGTGACTTCTAAACCCGACTCAGGCCAGGTGGGCTCCCAGATTTTGCCCTCTATCTCCCTCAGAGTGCTATGGATCACCCCTTTTTTTGTGATACTGGGAATTGAACCCAGGGATGCTCTACCACTAAGCTACCTTTCCAGTTCTTTTTTTCTTGGGGGTGGGTACATGGGTTTAACTGGGAGGGGCTTAACCACTGAGCTAAATCCCCAATGCTTTTTACGTTTTATTTAGAGACAGGGTCTCACTAARTTGCTTAGGGCCTCACTACACTGCTACGGCTGCCCTTGAACCTATGATCCTCCTGTCTCAGCCTCCTGAGCCACTGGGATTACAGGCATGGGCTACTGTGCCCAGGCCCAGTTCTTTTTATTTTGAGACAGGATCTTGCCAAGTTGCCCAGGCTAGCCTTAACTTGGATTCTTCTGGCCTTAGCCTACTGAATCACTGGGATCACAGGCCTGCACCACCACACCCCAATTGGGCATTGCCATTCTTGTGGGAGTTTCTGCTGCTGGCCTGGCTCCTGGATCATTTGAAAGGCAGGACAAATATGCTCTTGGTCTTCCAACCAATGTTTAATAAATACTTGCAAAAGACAGAGAAGGGAGGGAGGGAGGGCAAGTGGTGGGGGGCCTGGCTACCTTCCCAAAGGACAACCCCCAAAGGACTRAAGAGTGTGGCTATAACGCATAATCTCATCTGACCTCCTGTAGCTTACAGAGGTCAGCATCCAGWCTCCGTGTCTTTGGGTCGGGAATGTTGCTAATGACCCCCAGAGCTCCCAGTCAGCAAGGCCCTTCAACAAAGGCCCCAAACCCCTCTTCCCTTTATCCCCCAGGAGGGTGCACCCTGGGAAGGAAGCTACCCCTCTCTGAGGCTCCACARCCTGCTCATCATCTACAAATGGGGCATGTTGCCTCCCTGTCTCCTCCTATGGGTGACTACAGGGAGGGGACCCCCTGGCCCAAGTGCCTGCCACACCTGTTGTACATGTTCCAGAAGAGCTGCAGGTTGGCTTGGTTCACCACGTTCCCGATCTGCTGCCGGTAGCTCTGCACCAGCTCGGTGTTGTTCACAAGCTCCTCCTGTGCCCGGGGGCGCGAGGAGGGGACAAGGAGGGAACACAAAGGGAACCTGTGGGTGTCACCTCTAGAGCAGCCCTGGCCCTGCTCCCCATGGGGGGTGGTGGGAGGCGGGGCCTCAAGAGGGGAAATCTCCCACTCCTGTGGGTCTTTCAGATGCTGGGCATCAGGGATGACAACAGAATGTGGCGTGAGACAGGTCAGATGCCAAATAACCACGCCTGCCTCCTCCTGCTGGATGGGAGGAGGGATGGTGCCAAACAGCAGCTTCCCAAGCCTCAGTGACCTTCCTCGCCCAGCCGCCCCTGTTCTGGTTTGAGGACAGCTAGGGTCTGCAGAAGCCCCCACCCCTTACCTGGCTGAAGAGGTGGGAGAGCACCGTGTCTGGTAAAGTGCTGGTCAGGCCAGAGAGCTGCAGGAGGAGGCAGCCAGTGTGAGCACCCCGCAGAGTCACCACCCTGTCCCAGGGACACCACGCTCACCTTGGTGGCAGCCCAGTCGATCCAGCCTTTGCCATTGGGGTCAATGTTCATGAGCACCAGCCCCTCCACGAGGTCTGGGAAAATGAGCTGCAGGGAGAGGGGAGAGGGCTGGAGGGCGCGGGGAGGGATGGGGTGCAGGGAGCCCCCTTCTTCCACCTAGAAAATGGGCTGTCAAATCCTGCCTGTCTCACAGATGGTTAGGAAGTCAGAGGAGATGAAAATGCTTTGTAAAATCTTCAAGATGCCACTCATGGATCAACTGGCCGCAGCTGGGGACATGCATGGGCTGCCATGGCCAGGGGCCCTGCTCATTCTCCTGTCTCGCCCAGCCCCTATACATTCTTTGATTTATTTAGAATATATCACTGTTTCTCACCCCTTTCTCTCTCTCTCTCTCTCTCTCTCTCTGTGTGTGTGTGTGTGTGTGAATACACATATACTATTTATGTATTTTTTGCCATGCTGGGGATTGAACCCAGGGCCTTGTATGTTAGGCAAGCACTCCACCACCGGGCCACATTCCCCAGCCCCTGTTAATGATATTTTTGAAGGTGTTGCAATTGAGAGTATTAAACATCTTAAAGTCTGAAACATGTTGCTTCTTTGCTTTTATAGAAAATAAAGCCCTTGTGGTATCAAATAGGAACTTGACCTTTTCAAAGCCTGTTCTGTATCAGACGTCATGAAAGGGATCTGAATTTTCTGATCAACTGTGGGTCCGTGTTCAGGAAGAAACAGAAACACACAAACTCCCGGGCCTGTCCAGCCTCTGCCATGTGATTAAGTGCTGAAACTGGGAACTAAATGAAGTTGAAAACTCTTGCTTATTTATTTATTTATTTATTGAAGGAAAAAATGTTTTGAATGCTAAAAAATTGTTTGTTTTTAGAGATGAAAAGTTTTCCTGACCCCAAACACAATGTTTTTAAAACATGACTTTAAACCTCACAACCCTAATAAGTATAATATTTTGTTAAAAGATTATTCGTGTTCAAATGTTACCTTAACCCTTATTTAGTGGTAGAGCAACTGATGATGTAGTAAGTTGCTAATAGAAATTCTGGCTTTGGATAATTGTAAAGCAAATTATAGTTAGTAATCTTTTGAAAAAAATGTATGGGAAAAGTATCCTCTTTTTCTTGTTATAAAGTTAATTTCCTTGGAAGGAAAAAATGAAAAGGGGCTTTTCTAATCAATCAAGAGGCCAGGTGCGGTGGTACATGCACACCTGTAGTCCTCGTGACTCACAGGCTGAGGAGGAGCCTGAGTTCAAGGCCAGTCTCAGTAATTGAGTGAGACCCTCAGCAACTCAGTGAGACCTTGTCTCAAAATCAAAAGTAAAAAGGGCTGGGGACACAAGTCAACGATAAAAGGTTCTTGGATTCAATTCCCAGTACCCCCCCCCCAAAAAAAACAATCTAATAAGTGAGGAGTGGGAGGAGGAGGAGGGGGAAAGGGCCCAGGGAGGGGATCCTGGGTGGGGGAGAGAAACTCACTGCAAACTTGGCCAGCACGTAGGCTCCGGCTCCCACGCCAATGCCAATCACATACTTGAACCTGGTGCAGAGGACGGCTGGTCACTCTGGGGCTGTGGGTGCCATTTCCCATGACACCCATCCAGAGCAGACCCCACCCTCAACCCTCAGCTCGACATGTGCAGACGGCTCCACAGTGTGGCAGATCAGGAGGGAACTCACCCAAAGTGCTGCACCACACTGGGGAGCATGGCGGCCAGCTGCTCCATGGAGGGGAACTGGTACCTGCAGGCAGGGCAGGAGGTCAGGCCCAGTGCAGTCTGGGGGGTGGGCTGGGGACAGGAGAAGGGGCTCCAGGGCACCTACCCCTGAGGAAACTGCGACGCCCCCACCTGCTGTCCGGGGGCATCCACGTGGCATACCACAAAGTGCTTGGTGATCTCCTGCATGTCCTCAAAGTTGAAGAAGGTGTTGAAGCACAGCTTGTCTGCAAAGACACACCTCTCAGCTGGCTGAGCCGATGGGTAGGGGAGGGAAAGGAGGCCAGCAGCCCTGTCGGCTTGCAGCAGACGTGATCAGCCTCAGGGCCCAGCAGGGAAAGCCAGGCCAGAAGAGCTGACAGTGAGCAGGGGTTTACCAGGCCCTGTGGGAGGGCGGAGAGGGGAGGCCGTGCTGAGGGGAGGGCTGCGTGAAACCAGGCTGCACTTACGGTTGAGGCCAACATCATGATAGGTGAGGATGGCCGGGCGGTTCCCTTTGGGGGAGCCCCGGATCACCACGTGCAGAAGGCCATAGGGCGTCTCAATGTCATGTTCCTGGAGAGAACAGATAGTGCCAGATGCTCTCAGCAGCCCCCACTYCTGGCTCTTCTGGGGAATGTGGTGGTTGGGACAGCCCAAGACTTCAGGGACTATGGGGTGTCCGCCAGCTAGTGTCCTGCTCCCATCACCCAAGCAGCTCCCACTCCCGGGAGGAAGGGTCAGAGGCCGTACCCGTTCTCAGAGGTACTCAGCATAGCGACAACAGCAATTGCAAGCAAAGTTCTGGTCCCCTTTGTAAACCAGTCAACAGATAGTGTTGCCTGGGTCAGGCCCAGCCCCCTACCCTATACTCAGTCCTTCAGGGGCCAGGAGGCCAGGTTTCTGCATCCTGCTGCAGCCCCTCAGGATGGCTCTGCCACCCAAGCCCAAGTYCCCCCACCTCAGAATCCTCAAGGGCTCCCTGCTGCAGAAGGGGAATAGCCTCAGAGGCCTGCCTGRCACCCTCAGAAAACACCCTGCCCTGCCCCACAGCCCCGCCCAGGTCCCTGCTGCAGGGCCCTTGCTCCTTCCACCTTGAATGCCCTTCCCCGGTAGCCCCAGCATCCAAGGTCCCCCTTCAGGCAAGGCAGGGTTAGACACCCACCCCTCCCCCAGGCTGCTGCAGTGCAGCTTCTGCTTCTCCCGAGTCCTTGGCCTGGGTTTTTCTGCTCAGGGTCACCAGTCTTGCAGGAGGACCTGGCTTTGCCCCTTACTATGTGACTAAGCAGGGCACCTCATGGATTGCATGGTCAGCAAGGAGTGACGAGGTGCCATCCCAGTGGCYAGAGGCCACACCCTGGAAGCCACATTCTGCCTGGAGGCCTGTCCTCCAGGCAGCCCTCCCTGTCCATCCTCAGGACGCATCAGATCCAGGCCTGCTCCCTGGCCACTGACTAGACACTTTTCATGTGTTGTCTCCTCTATTCCTCGAGCTGAATGGAGGCAGAGGGGGAGGAACGGAGGCCAGAAAGGAGAAGTGACTGGCCCAAGGTTGAGCCCTACTCTGAGCCTAGAGCGAGGCAGGGGCAGGGGTGGGAGTGGAGGGGTAGCATCCTTGCCACAGCCTGTCTCAGAGGCCAGGCTTGGCATCAAGGGCTGTTTTCTAAGGAGATCAAGTTTCACCCAAGAGACCTCCTGAGCAGGCAGCCTCTGCAAGGTGGCAGCCCCTGTTGGGTGTCCCTGCCACATCCACCAGTCACTCGCTGTTCAACCTCAGCTCTGGAGGAATGAGGTTGGGGTGCACAGGGCAAAGCTCTTTGGCGGGGGCTCTCTGCAGCCTCTGGGTCAGCCTTTGCCCTGCTTGGCAGAAACCAGGGCCCGGGGCACCTTCCAAATACAGACCCCCAGCCCCACCCTCTGGCGAGTGTGGGTGAGGAAGCCCAGCCTGTCCCCTCCCTGCCCTGCTGTGTCTGCAAGTGTCTACGGCCCGCTACAGAACCGCCCTACTGTGTCCCACCTCCGCGGGGCGGCAGGGTCTGCMGGGAGAGGGCTGGCGGCTACCTTCCCGCGGGGCCAGGTGACCTTGACCGCTCAACGACCTCCCAGCGCTTCCTCTGACCCTTGGCGGGGAGCTCAGGCCCAACAATCCCGACTCCGGCAGCTCAGAGTTGGGGGTCTCCCCAAGAGCCGCAGTCTGCACGCTCAGAGCCCCCCAACTCTCAGGGTCTGGCGCTCCCATTGGCTCTCGGTGACGTCATGCCAGAGCCCGCCCCCCCCCCCAGGTGGGCGCCCAGGGATGCACTGCGGCAGCAAGAGAGGGGGCTCTGACATCCCCTCTCGGCCTGGYTCTCCTCGCCGTGACCTTGAGGGCTGGAGGAAGTAGGGGTCTGAGCTGGGCTTTAGCACACTGCGGGTGGCGCTGCGACTGTCAGCCGCATCAATTATTCAGGGGACAGGGTCTGCATGGGCGGTGGATGCTGACGTAGTGGCAAATGCAGTGGGCCGTGGCATGGTCTGCCAACGGACAGGCAGGTGTGGTGGGGCAGGCCTTCCTGGCTTCTCCCTCCTTAAGGTAAAGTGGCACAGGGCTTGGGTACCTGCTGCCCTGGGCCCCCCACCTAGGGGCATGTAGTCATCCCTCCAGCGCTGCCTTCCCCAACCTACAAAATAAGTCAGGGTCACTCCTTTTTGTCCCCTTCCCTGCAGGGTCCCCTGCCTGCAGGTCCAGACCTCTGCTCCTCTGTGCCCTGGAAAAGCAGGAGCAACTCCTAAGGCAGAGGCTGCCTGTCCTTTCCATGGCACTACTGCAGCCATCCAAACTCCCAGCAACGCCTCCAGGACAGGACCACAGACAGACACCAGGAGCACAGCCTGGGGCTCACAGCAGACCACCCTTCCCCCACTGGGTTGAGGTGGTCCCAAGGACCCAAACAGCCACTCAGATAGGCACATGGCAGGCAGAGAACACCTACCAGGGTGTGCACACACTGGCACACAGGTCCGCACAGGCCACGAGAAGACTCGGACAGTACACTCCTTCCATTTCCTGTAGATGCCACCCCTCCAGGCCACCCCCCAGGACCTGAATAGCAGCTGCCCTGATGCACCTGCAGACCAGGTCACCAGGAAGACTGGGACCTCCTGCTTTGCCCCRGTGACTCCAGGCAACTGAGGGCAGAGCTGTCACCAGACATGGGCAGAGGATGCCTTGTCCTTCCTGCAGGTCACAAGGATGCCCTGCCCTCCCTGCGCAGCTGGCTGCCCCCAGGRCCCTCACTCACCCCATCCCAGCACTCCGGCATCTTGCCGAGGGAGGGAACTCTTCGATCAAGGAGGGCAAACAAAGGCCTGAGTCACTCCGGAGGAAAGGGTGGCTGGGTGGGAGACAGTCTGCTCTGTGACGGGGCACAGCTCCCAGGCCATTTATACGCAGATCCTGGCCCAGCCCAGGCCCGCCCCTCCTCCCTGCAGCCACTAGCTCTCCCGARTCCCTGCTCTGAGATTGGCTGTTGGAGACAAACCTGGCTCCGATTGGCTTCTGAGGTCCTCGCTCACCCCAGCCTCATTCCTGCTTCTCCGCCCCAGCAACACCTCATTCTGGATGGTCCCCAGTCCCTGCCTCGATGTTCGCCTGCCCCCCAGCACCCAGGCGCCCTCCAACAGCAGCAGTGTACACGGGATCCCAATAAGACGGGAGCCAGGGGGCCACCCTGCATTAGGTACCCAGGGGCCTCTCACAGGCAGGGCAGGACCCACGGTATATGCCCCACAGAGGCAGAGCCCCTGACTCACACCCTGGGTGCAAAGGGCCCAAGGCCAGACCCCGAGCCCCAGCTTCCCCAAMAGGAAGGCGTGGATCTTGAGAAGACCTGAGGAATTGCTTTGGGGGACAACTGGGTCATCTCCCTGCTTCAGGAGGACTGATCCTTCTCCCCTACCTGTCAAGGGCTCTCTCTCACTCTGCCCACATATATGCCCAGGGCTTGCCCACACTGCTGAAGGGGGCTTTGGGGTGGGGGTCCTGGGCAGATTGCAGGAGCAGGGCGTGGAGAACACACCAGTTCTCTACCCCACCCCTGGCCCGATGTAAGGGACTTGAGGCTTCCAGAGAGAGGAGGAGGAATAGGAGGTCTTCAGTCCAAGCTGACCCGTGCCTTCCACACGGCCAGCCAGACCCTTCTCCTGGAGCCAGTGGTGTGGGGYGTGGTTCCCAGGCACAGAGCTACCTCGGGCGCCATGCCCTGGCCTCCCGGGCAGCAGGAATCTGGGTGGGGGGCTAGCCTGGGACATGCAGGCAGAGGCCACAGAGGAGAAGGACAGTTGAGGGGAGCAGAGGAGGAGGGAAGGTAAGCCAGGGAGGAGACCAGAGGAGGGAGCCCTAGGGCAGAGAACGGGAGTGACAGAAAGGGCGGGTGCTGGGCACCTGTGCCCCGGTTCTGTCTCACTGGTGAAGGAACACRCGGCTCACCCCAGCCTGCGCCCACAGCCCTGCTCTCGGGTAGCCCCASCGGAAGGCAGCGGGTGCTCTGACCACGGCTGCCTGCTGACCTGCTCAACACCTGCCATGTATACTATTCCTGGCCGTGTCCGATGTCTCTGGGCACCAACAACTTTCCCTGCCCCATCTCTGACCTCTCACTTCCTAGCAAGAGTGCAGTGGTGTGGAACGGGGTCTCCCCCAGCCCCTCCAGTCTGTCCATGCTCCCCATTTCTGCAGCTACACAACACAGGAATGAGCTTGGACGGCTGAGGCGGCCTGCACAGGTCCAGCCCTGCGTGTCTGGCCCTGAGTCCTCCCATGTGCTTCAAGGTGCTGGAGTTCTGCTCCCCATGTGCCCACCCAGTCCTCTCCCCACCCTTCCTTCGGGTGAGAAGCTGGCTTAGCACTGCCCCTGCATCTACCCCCAGTTCTGCTCAGCTCACTGGCTGCAAACCCACAGACCTGGGCACAAGTCCTGCCCAGCCCCTAGGTGGGTCCTTGGTGATGTTTCTGTTTTCTCTGGGCCTCAGGCTTTGCAGCTGTAAGGGAGGAATTGTGCYTTCCTCGCTGAGTCGCTGTGAGAATGAGCACAAAACTGCCTACTTCACTCTAGGCCTGACTCCACCCCTGCCTCCCCTGGCAGGGAGATGAGACAATCTGCCAGCCTCTACAAACTGCTGGCCCCTACCCGGAGGTGGTGGCACAGGCCTATGATCCCAGCGACTCGGGAGGCTGAGACAGGAGGATCATAAGTTGGATGCCAGCTTCAGCAACTCTGCAAGACGCGCTCTCAAAATAAAAAGTAAAAAGAGCTGGGGATGTAGTTCAGTGGTCAAGCAACCCCTGGGTTCAATCCAAAACAAAACAAAACAAAACTACAAAAACACCCCAACTGCTGACCCCCTTCTCTGGAGGCTGTGMAGTGTGTCTGAATAAGACAGATTCAGCTTTTGCTAGCCAAATCCTGGTGCCAGCCATAGCTCTGCCACTTCTTTGCAATGTGACCTTGGGCACATCAGTCAACCTCTTTGAGGCTTTCCATCTGTAAATGGGAGAAACACGCAGGCACATGTAACCCCTCCAACCCTCACAAACCTACGGGAAAGGACAAGGAGACCAAGGCACAGAGAGGTCAGGTAATTTTGCTACCCAGCTAATAAAACATGGAGCTTACTAGTGCTTGGCACACYGGGCCCGAGGTCACATCACCGAGTAGCAAACACAATGGAATGTCTCCCACGTGCCGGGCTCTGTTCACGGACTTGGCACATTATCTCACTTTATCCTTTTAACATCCACTTTGCAGATGAGGCACAGAACGGTTTGGTAACCTGCCCAACACCACACAGTTAGGTGAACCCAGAACTAGGGACATACCCAGGCATCTGGCTCTGACTCCATGGCCACTTGTCAGTCATTCAAGCATCTGAGTACTGGATCTGTGGGCCCCGTCACCTTGCAGAGACACTCAGCTGCCTGTGTCACTCTACAAATGAGTGAGTGACTTGTGCTGGAGGCCTCATGGCTGATAAGTGGCAGGGCCAGGACCTCGACTCAGGCCTGTGTGGTGCGTGTTGGTCTCTGTCTTGGTCCATCTCCCCTGGCTGAGCCCACCGAGGCCCAGGTCGTCATACAGCCTGCCACTGTGACTTGGGATAAAATCCATGTCGGATCCTGATCCAGATGGCGGCCATCTYTGTGACCACTTTCCTTAAAAACTAAAAAGCTTGTCTCCAAGCTGTRTGACTGCGGGAGACAGGAAGGTGCCTTTTAACATGTGCCCTTTACCAAGCAAGGGATCTTGAGAACTTGGGTGCCACTGCCAAGAGTGGTGTCCTGGGCAGGGCTGGCCTGGGCTCGGAGGTTCAGCTGAAAGGGAGCTTCCCACGCAGCAGCGGCCTCCTCCAGGCCCAGGCCCCCCCCCATCCCTCCTGCAGCAGGGGTGTGTGTGGCAGGGCTGCCCCCCCCTCTTTAGGACTCGCCTGGGGGGGCCGGGGCTGGCTGCTCTGGGGTTTATCTCACCAGCTCCCTCCTCAGGGCCCATGTGCCCACCTATTCCCTCACTGAGGACAAAGAGAATGCCCTGTCCTGTCTGCTCTGATTTCCAGCCGTCCCTTCCTATCAAGCTGTGTCCCGGCCACATCCCTCCCATCTCTCCTCCAGGGACAATTAGTCCCCCACTGCTGAGTCCCATCCTTTCCTTGCATCTCCGAGCCCTTGGTGTTTGGAGATGGTGTTCTGGGGGGATCTGAGCATATGCACAGTGTGCCCCAAAGCCTCCCCTGGTGTCCTTGAAGAGGCGCGTGACCAAGGGACCAATGCATGGGCCCAGATCCTCATCCTTGCAGGGATCTGCTTGCCTGGGGAGGAGCCAGAGGCAGCCCCACCTCCTGCACGTCATGCCCACGTCCAGACCACGAGGCCGGTGCTGTCATGGGGCTTGGAGACTGACCCAAATGGAGGTCAGGCAGAGACAAGGACAGTGGCCTGGGGGCTATTTCCATCTATCAGGAGGCAGGGTCTGCGTTGGTTCAGCACATTTGGATGGACGGTGGGATCTGGTCACCCAGGAAGGCTTCCCTGGTGACGGCTGTTAGATATTTTCTGAGACCTGGAGATAAATGGTCACTAGGGGACCCAGAGGGGAGAAATGACTGGCCAAGTGAACACACTCATCCTGCAGGGGAATAAAAACAGAGGTTCAGTTTTCATGGAGAACCTGGCATCAAACTAAAGAGGACATGGTTGTCTAGGCAACTGCTGCCATGGAAACAGGAGCTATTTCAGAGTCAAGCTGGCTCTCATTGGAGGAAAATGCTGATTCAGATGACAACATCCTTCCCTCCCTTCTCCGTCCTCTTCCCCAGGCCTCCCCTGGCTTCCCAGCTGTCCTGTTCAGAGGGTCCCACGGCCTCCATCTTGGGCATCTCTCCACTGGGCAGGGGTCAGGCAGAGCTGCTGTGAGCAGTGACCGTGGGGTGCCCAGCCCCGGCCACTCCAGGATGGGGGCACACAGAATGAAGGACTAAGACACTTTGGGGCCTGGACAGGTGGGAAGAGAGGCTGGCCAGTTGTGGGTTCCATATCTAGGGAGGCCGAGCCTCAACCTACCTTCCAGTCTGTGTCCACAGCTGAGAGGAAGGTGTCAGGGTTCTCCTGTGGGAAGGCAAACAGAAGGGGTCAAGTTAGGTTCTGGGGGGCATGAGAGGCCTCTGGCGGCTCTGCCTGGAGCAGGCTGGCTTTCTGATCCCGTCCATGTCAGCAACAAAGAAAGTGGCCACCAGGTCCCCAGGTGCCAGGTACTGGGCTGTCCAGTACTTAGTGGAGAAGCCCAGGAGTTTGCCAATTCAAAATGCAAAGATTTCTGTTTTATAGGTGACAAGGATGAGACTGGGCCTGGGGCTAGAAAGTAGGAGAATTTTGGACTCCAATCCTGGAGGCAGCCCCCACAGACGTTCCTCAGGGTCCGACCACCAGGGGCAGAGGCAGGAAGAGGCGCCATGATCGTCACAGAGGATGGGCCCACTGAGCCCACGGGGTGCAGAGAGGAGGGACTTTTCTAACCCATTAGGTGCTCTCCAGGCCCCTGCTGTGCACTCTCAAGTCACTTGAGCAAATGTGACACTGGGCCATATGCATCTTTGCTCAGTGCGGGTCCTGCCACTGGACTCCAGGTCTGACTGTGCTCTCAGCGCAAAGCCTGGTGGGAATGGCTCCCAAACACCCGGACCTGGATGAACAATCTGACTTCACACATGAGGGTGGCTTGGCTCAAATGCACCTGCAGGTCACCAGGCGGCGTGGACGGAGAGCTAAAGGGAGAGTTGAGCCCGGGCGGGGGAGGGAGGGGTGTCACCAGGCAGCCCTAGGGTACTGTGCCACTGGGCCTGGTTCTAGGGTGTGACTCGTCCTTTCTGGGTCCCTTCTCCTCATCTGTATGGCCAGGAAGCTGGGCCAGCTCTCAGGGCCACTTCGGAGACCAGGGAGGGACAGCTACCAGGAGACAAGCGCCTGCGCAGGTAAGGCTGAGCTTGGGCCCGCTGTGAGCAGGTCCAGACTGTGCCCGTCCAGAGACCTCCAGGGCAGCCACTGCTGGGGCTCCAAAGGAAGGGGACAGGACTGGGAGAAGGGGACACGGGCGGGGGAAGGGGTTGGGGTGGTTCTTGATGAACCTTCTCACTCTAAGCCTGGCGGGAGGCAGGCCGGGGAAGCAGACGTGGGAGGTTTTATACCAGAGACCTTCCCTGGGCAATTAGCTCAGGGAGAGGGGGAGGTGGCAGTTTTGTTAAAAACAAAACCTGACAAGAAGGATGAGGCAGATAATGGCGTGAGCTCTCAGGGCACAGGCCCCAGGAGACGAGGCGCGTGGGGGGATGGCCCCCCAAAGCAGGSAACTTGCAGGGATAATGTGAGCCAGTCTGAATTCTCCCCGAGCCATGGGAGGTGAGCCCGAACCCCAAGGAAAAGAGCGCAGTGGAAGGTCCGAGAGTGGCATGTGGGAGACAGGGGTGGCCCCCAGGCCCAGGAGAAGGAGCACCCAGCCTCCCACCGATCCCTGGACCCACCAGGCCCTGGAGTCTCCAAAGCAAGCCAGTCCAGAGAGGCAAGAGGGACGCAGGTCAATGTTAGAAGCACCACAGTCCCTCCTACCTCCATCCGGTTCCAGGACCCCCCTGGGACACCAAGATCAGCAGATGTTCAAGTTCTCTCTAGGACTACGAAGTGGTGTAGTATTTGCACAGAATCCAGGCACATCCTCCAGCACCCTTTAAGTTAGTTCTAGATTACTTATAATACCTGATCTAAGGTAACTGTTGTGTAAATAGTGGTTGTACTGTATTGTTTAGGGAGAGAGTCTGCACCCATTCAGTACAGACAGGATTCTTTTTTCTAATACCTTCTCTCTGTGGTTGGTTGAAACTACGGGTGTGGAACCTGCAGATACRGAGCTGACTGCATTCACCGCTCACTGGACTCCCGACACTTTGCACCTGGCAAATTGCAGGAGATTTAGAAAGGGACAAAGGCAGGTACGTTCACATGCAGCAGCAGGAGAGGCGGAATCTGTGTGTGTCACAGCCTGAGAGAGAAAATGAACAGCTCTCGAAGGCACAGGGCCCCCAGAGGGCTGATACCTGATACCTGAAGACCTCGCTGTGGGCACCTGGACTGGGCTTTAAATGTGCCTTTGTGTCCAGGTCCCCAGCACAGGGTTATGCTGACTCAAGAAAGTAGCGAAGACTCCAGGACAGACAGAAGCACTTGACTCTTACGMGGAGGGGTTGGGAGTGGGGGTGTCACAGTGGCTAACTCTGGTCTGGTCCAGGTGGCCCGCAGGATGAAGAAGAGATCGGCTGCAGCAGGAGGATGGCAGAGGATGGGGGGCAGGTGGGCTTACTGAGCCAGGAAAGGAGGCAGCAAGGGTGGGCAGGCAGGTAGAGGAAGGGCAGCATCTCTCTGGGCACCTGCCAAGGAGAGCAGTGGAAGCCACAGGCACAGAGGCGTCAGACCAAGATGCCCTCAGTTCTCCGCACTGTGCCAAGGGGGCTGGTCAGGGCCACAGTCACATGTCTGGTCCCAGCAGGCAGCGCCTCTGTAAGCCACCCTCTTCAGCAGTTGTGATGGGCACAGAGGTCCCGGGGGCTCACCATGAACCCTTCCAAAATCTCACAAGAGGTCTTTGCTCATGTGCCTCAAAAGACAAACTGGAGCTAGGCGCGATGGCACATGCCTGTCTGAAATCCCAGCGGCTTGGGAGGCTGAGGCTGGAGGATCTCAAGTTCAAAACCAGCCTCCGCAAAAGCGAGATGCTAAGCAACTCAGTGAGACCCTGTCTCTAAATAAAATTCAAAATAGGGCTGGGGATGTGGCTCAGTGGTCGAGTGCCCCTGAGATCAATCTCCAGTACCCTACCAAAAAAAAAAAAAAAAAAGACAAACTGTCTTGGGGAGGAAGAACTTCTCCAAAAGTTCTAAGAAGTTTCTTTCTTTTGAGCTTATCACAATCTGTGGCTCCCATCTAGCCCACCTCTTTACTGAGGGCTGACTGTGTGAAAGGTGCTGTACTAGGTACCGGGGAGACGTGGGCATAAAACAGACCAGATGATTGCCCAGCAGCTAGTGGGTGGGGGCTGATAGTGGTTGGTGCTAGGGCCAGGGGCAGAACGTGGCAGGGTGTCAGTATTAGACCCAGTGGTCAGAGAAGGCCTCTCTGAGGAGGGGACCCTTGAGCAGAGGCCTGACTAAAATGAGGATGCAGCCCTGCACGTGCCCAGATTAGAGCCTCCCAGGCAGAGGGAGCAGCCCGGAATAAGATGGCAGTGTTCAGGGAGGCCAGAAGGAGTGAACCAGGCGGGAAGGGTGAGAGATGGGGTGGGGGCAGGTGCAGGCCACACAGGAAGGACTGTGGATGTAACTGAGCGAGATGGCAGTCACTGACCAGCTCTGGGTGAAGTGAGGTGAYGTACTGTAAAAGGGTCTTACGTAGGAAAGGCAGAAGGAGACCAGGAGGAGGCTCTTGCAAGCATATTCATGGTGGTGCACACCTGTAATCCCAGAGACTCGGGAGGCTAAAGCAAGGATCGCAAGTTCCAGGCCAGGCTCAGCAACTTAGTGAGGCCACGGGGCTAGGCCTGGGGACATAGCTCAGTGGTAGAGCATCCTGGGTTTAATCCTAAGTATTGAAGTTAAAAAAAAAAAAAAAAAACCAAGATGGGAGTTTGGGTTAGGAGTGAATATATTAGGAACAAAGGACCCACTAAGTGTGCAGCTCACCTGCAGACCCCTAATAGCTGCCCTCAAATAATCTAGGCCTCAGAAGTTTACTCAAGATTTTGCCTTTGTGGACATTTTTTTTTTTTTGTAGTTGTAGATGAACAGAATGATTTTATTTCTTTATTTTTATGTGGTGCTGAGGATTGAACCCTGTGCCTCACACATGCTAGGCAAATGCTCTACCACTGAGCTACAGCCCCAGCCCCCACTCAAGATTTTGCCTTTAAGATGAGACTGTGCCCTTCTGGGGCAGGACTGCCAGCCTCACATGGTTGGATCCCCTGGATCCCTGGCTGGCTTCTTGGTCCCAATGCTGGCTGCTCAGTGGCTCTGGGGCTCACCTCCCTGTGGTGAGAGCCGGGGGGGGGGGGGGGGAGCCAGGGCAAGGCACTGGGAAGGGCAGGCTGAAGATCTAAGGACTGGACTCCTGGCTTCCTCACTGCAGGATGAGGGGGCTAGGATGGCAGAACCAGCAGGGAGCCCCACCACTGATGCTGTAGAACTAATGAGCAGGGGACCCCCAGCTTCTCCTTGCAAAGTGGTTTGTGCCAATCAATGAGAGGATCGCGCTGGGAGGGGACAGAAGGGAAGGCAGACGGGAGTCACTAGAAGAAGGTGTGGRGTAGAAGAAGACTCTGAAATCCAGCATCTGGCTTCTCAACTGAGGGATGTTTGGGACAAAATTGCCATCTTGAGTTTTCTCAGTCCCCTGGATCTTGGTGGCACTACTGGTGAACCTTGGACCTCAGAAGCTTGTGACAAAAAGATAGGAAGAATTGGGCAGGCCCTGCCAGCAGGGCAGCCTCTGGGGGRCTGTGGGGTGCCCAGAACCCAGGCTTGTCATGGTCTGCTCTGTGTGACCCTGGCTAAGTGTGTTCACCTGTCTATGCCTAGGTCTTTACATCATTCACATGGGGACAYTGATCCTGCAAAGCCCCAGCCTCAAAGAAACCCGAAGCCACAGCGAAGTTGTCTGGGTCTTGGTTGCTCAGCTGGCCCGGGAACTAACTAGGCAGGGACAAGGCTGCTCCGGGTGGCTTGCCCGCCCTGAGCCCCCTGAGAACCATCATCAAGACGGCAGGGAAGGCACCTTCTCCCTTTCGCCACGAGGTGGCGCGCTTGCCCCCAGGATCGCCAAGGGGCAACTCACCAGCTCGGTGGCGTCCTGGCCCCGGAGCAGCGGCTTCTCCTCGGGGAATCGCAGCTCCTGCAGTCCCGCCATGGTCACGTCGTGGAGCAGCAGCCCTAGGAGGGAAGGAGGGCGAGGTTGGGGCGGGCTCTGACTCTTCCCGGCTCAGAAGGACATCGCAAGCCAGAGCCGGGGCGGGGGCAGGGGCACAGGCGGGTTTGAGGGGATCCGATTGACACTCCGAGGGTRTCCTTATGTTATTTGCCCTTAAAAGTTGAAATGTGTCTTGAAAAAAAATAGAAAGGCAACACATGATGATCCCTAAGACATTTCAAAGCAAAATCCTGCGTTATGGGGGAATCACAGGGGTGTGTGAGGAAGCCCCGCAGGGCCAGAAGAGGACATGAGGTTCTGGAGGGGACACAGCTGGAGAGGGACAGAGCTGAGCTTCTCCCCGGATTGGGAGCTCAAGCCTAGGATGCACGAGGGGACACGGCCAGTGTGGCAGGCCCTGTGATACTGAAGCAGGGGATGTGCTGTCAGGACAGGCCACCTGCAGTGGGGGTCTAAGCCCATGGCTGAGAGGTCCCAGGTCCCCAGACTGCTGGGTGTTTCTGGGAGACCCCAGGGCCTCTGAACTTCAGGGCAAGAAAGGTCACATTTGCAGAGCTGTGTACACAGCRTGCCCCCGAATGTGTGTTTGGAGGAGCCAGCAGCAGGAGAAAGAGGTTGGGGTGGGGGACAAAGGACCCACATAATCATCCCGGTACAACCATCCCTTACTCAGGACTTCAGGATGACAGAGGTGAAAAACTAGTCAAGAATCTGGAAATTCATAAAAGAATTAAAATGGGCCAATCAATACACAGGAAAGCACTCAAGCTCATTAGGAGTCAAACTGTAAAATAAGATCCTCTTTTTCTTTTTGGCTAATAGAACTGGCGGAGTTTGTGGTGCTAACTAGCCAAGACGCACCCAAACTGGCACTTTCTCATATTGTTGATGGGTGTAAACATGGATACATCTTTCTGGAAGGCAGTTTTTAAAGTTTGTTTTGTTGTGAGTGTATGCGTTACTGGGGACTGAACCCAGGGGTGCTTTACCACTGAATTACATGCCCTGTCCTTCTTATTTTTCATTTTGAGACAGGGTCTTGCTAAATCGCCCAGGCTGGCCTGGAACTTAATCCTTCCAGTTCAGCCTCCCGAGTAGCTGGGACTATARGCATTCGCCATTGTGCCCATCATGAAGGGCAATTTTGTAAAATGGATTAAAATTATTTTAAAAGGTTCCTATTCAGCAATCCCCCCTCTTKAGGAGAAACTCCCTTAGGAAACCAGGGAGGGCACCTGATGGCTTAGCTCCAGGAATGCCCACCAGAGAGAACAATAGAGAAAAACTAGAAGAGGATTGATGTCCATCAATAGGTCACTATATACATACAGTATGGGTCAATAAGTTATAAAATATYATTTAATAATATGGGGAAATGCTTGTGTCACAAACAGGAAGAGAAGCTACAAAAGTAATATATAGTATTATCCCAAGTGTGAGAAATATGCATGGTTCCCCCCACGAGGTACAGAAGTCTATATATCAAAAAGTCCCCAGGCACTACCTGAGAGAAGAACAAATCAGGACCAATTGTTTAAAATCAGGGAAAAATTTTTTTTTCTTTTAAACTATTTGGTTGAAGGTCAGTAACCATTCCCTATTATTATATTATTATTATTATTATTATTATTATTATTATATTTGGTACTGGGGATTGAACCCAGGGCCACTTGACCACTGAGCCACATCCCCAGCCCTATTTTGTATTTTATTTAGAGACAGGGTCTCACTGAGTTTCTTAGTGCCTTGCTAAGTTGCTGAGGCTGGCTTTGAACTCGAGATTCTCCTGCCTCAGCCTCCCAAACAACTGGGATTACAGGCGTGGGCCTCTAGCAAAGCATTTCCCAGGTCATAAAGTGCTTGCTGAAGCAAGACGGGGAGACTGAGGCTAATGAGGAGCAATTACTTGCATAGGTAGGGTCAGGACTGGGCTCATGGACTCCTGGGCTGGTGCTCAATGCTCTTTCTAATTTTTTTCTTCTTCGTTCTACCACTCAGTTGCCTACGGACCTTGGTGCTCATTTTGTCACAGCATGGCTGCCTACTTTGGAAGGATGGCTTCCTTGATTGWTCCATTCATTCCTGGCTCCCTTCTTTTCCAAAATCGAATTCGAGCCTTTCCTAAGGGTGAAGCCCTCAGACTTTCCCTGCTGCCCTGAGACGRACCACGCCCATCAGCCGGTTGGGCATCCCGCGTCCCTGCCCACCTCTGCACTCTAGGTTTCTCCCATGGAAAACCCAGCAATTGCACACAGCCCAAGGGCACAAGAGGGAACCCACTTCTGTATCAGCGCTGCTTTGGCAAAGCCAGGTGGCAGCTCCGGGCTTCCCTGGGCCTCCATCAGAAGCAGGAAGCTCAGCCCTCCAGAGGTGCCAAGATGGTGCCTCCAGTGCTCATGGGGACTCCCTGCTAGAGTCCGGGCTGGTATGGGAGCTGCTGGGCACTCAGCCTCACAGAGGCCCAAAGGAGAGCTGCGGGGCCTCCCAGGTGAGCGCACGGGGGGGAGGGGGGGCCAGGAGGGCTGGCTGGCTGCCACCCACCCAGGCCCCAGATCACTGCACGACTGCGCCCTGCCATGCCCCAGCTCTGTTCCCAGTGGTTTCCGAGGAAACTAGCTCCCACGGTGCAGATGGGCTGTATTTTTAGAAAGGCGTCCTCTCCCCTCTCCTGCCCCTTCGCCTGCCTCCTTTCCGATGTGCGCACACTCCTCCATCCATCTGGGTGGGGAGCTGCAAGAAGGGCCCCCACCCTGGGAAACTCTTCCCCCACTAGGACTTTTTTAGCCACCTGCCTCCCTGAACAGCCGACTCCATTCCAGGCCTGGGCAGCCCTGGGGTGTCCCCACCCTCCCYCCAGCCGGTTATGAAACCTCCCCGGGGACCAGCCTCCCCAAGGTGGTGCTATTAAAAGGGCTGTGAGTGGGCAGCGCAGGGACAGATGGCCTGTGCTGGGGAGCGGTGGGGAAGGGGTGGAGAGAGACCCTGTCATCCAGAGAACTGGGAGTGGCTCTGTGGATGGAAAACAGGCAGCCYGGGGCGGGCTGGACGTCGTGGGGCTCCTGGACCGAGGCCAGAGTGGACATTCCCACGGTGGGGGGCAGAGAAGACGGTCATGATTTTTTTTTTTTAAGGCAACTGGATGAGGATGTCGTGAAACTGCCATCGACCTTCCACCCCGGAGCCCCATTAAGGTCAGGGAGGAGTGAGCAGCACAGAACAGGGTGGAGGGTAGCCCCAGGGGTGACCACAGGGATGGCTCTTTTGGCTCTGCCCCCCACCCCCACCTTGATCTCTTATTCCCTAAAGGGAACATGGGGCCTTAAAACCAAATGCCCTGGGATGAACCCCAGTCCCTCCAGGCATCAGTGGCTGGGCCCGGAGTCACCCAAGTCATGGGGGACAGATGCTCACCGCCTCGCTCCTAGACAAAGAGGAGCGCCAGCCTTCCTCCGCCCACCGCGGAGAGCTCCGGGGAGCAAAGAGACTCCATATAAAAGTGCCTTTTAACTGGAAGATTTTTATACATATTTGAAGGGACATCAATGATTTAACATCGCTGAGCAGGGCTTCCTTACCTTTCCCTGCTAATTTAAGGCAGCTTCCCCGCCCCCCACTCCCCATCTTTGTTAGAGGAAAGATTCATACCTGCTGGCTCAGGGGCTGAGCTGAAGTAGAACAGGAGGGGAGAAGGTTAAGCGAGGGCAAGCGGCCTCTTTGGCTGAGTGAGAGAGACTGTGAGAAACTCCGGGGCCAAGGAGAACTAGGGAGTGTTGAAAGCAAAGAGGGTGAGYTCATTAGGACGGCCTGCATTCCAAGTTCATGGCTTTTGTTTGCTTGTTTGTGCTTCTTCAAATGTGATTTTTCTTTCTATTTATTTATTTGTTTAGGAGACAGAGTCTTGCTAARTTGCTGAGGCTGGTCTCAAACTTGTGATCCTCCTGCCTCAGCCTCATCCTCCTGAGTAGCTGGGATTACAGGCATGGGCCAACCTGATTCTAGGATAAGACCTAAGACGYGAACCCTTGGATTTGCTTGGGTTAAAAATATTAGTAACTGGGGTGCACACTTGTAATCCCAGTGGCTCAGGAGGCTGAGGCAGGAGGATCTCGAGTTCAAAGCCAGCCTCGGAAAAAGTGAGGCACTAAGCAACTCAGGGAGACCCTGTCTCTAAATAAAATACAAAATAGGGCTGGGGATGGGGCTCAGTGGTTGAGTGCCCCTGAGTTCAGTCCCCAGGACCCCTCCCAATATATATAATTACTATGATTGTTTGTAAAACTACTCAATAAATACTTATATTGATCAGTAGTAGTTACTCATCCTCCAGAATAAAGTAGTTGCTTATTATTTGTCCCCCGCCCCTTTGTTATTTTGTCTCTTATTTAAGCAATTGTCAGTGGGGAGCATTAGTGGTGGAGATGGTAAGGGGACATCTGGAAATACCCGTGGGGTTTGGCTGTTTCAATGGAGGGAGGCTCCTACCAACCTTTAGTACCTGGGGCCCAGGTGAGAAGGGTCCCTATGCAGGGGTGCTCCCTCCCCCAGCCTCGCCCGTACTGTCCCACTGAGACACTCTGGAGCCGAAAGGCAGGACCCGCACACAGGAAAGTCAGCACACTCAGGAGAAGCCGACCCATGAACCAGGCCTGCAGGGCAGGGAGAAGGCAAAGAGGGAAGGCGCACAGCCGTGGAATGGCTCATAGTTTTTTCAACCCTAGAGTGAGGGGGACCAGGGCAGGTCATGGTCAAGGTCCAGACCAAGCTGCCCTGTGTAGGCGGCACTCTGACAGTTATAAGATCCCATTGAAATCTGTCCCACCCACTGTCACAAGGGGCCTGGCTGGCTGCGCCCTGGGGGAGGGGGATGGCCAGGGAGAGTTGAGGTAGGATGCTGCGTCACAGAGAAGGAATGGCATCACAGTGACGTCACAGACATGCACAGCCTACACAGCTGGCCTGGGTCCCCCTCCGTGGCTTGAAAGAGTGCAGGGAACCTGAGACC